GCAGCAATTCAGCACAGAGCAGATCGTGCGGGGCAGGAAGTCGTGCACAGAAACACAATAAAACATCCGGTTAATTTTCAAAATAAAATACACAGTGTTCATGGCGGATCATATTTCCCTGCACTACACCTTGAAAACTACATAATGGGCAGAGGCAGGCCTGAAGTCAACAGGTCAGAGGTTTTCAGACGTCATTTCACCCCGTTGACACCATGGACGAGGAGATGTTAATCATGGCAGTGCACCGAGATGTCTTCCGGCGGAGCTGCACCGCTCCGCACAGCAAACGCAGCCGGTGGGTATTGAGGGACGGCGGAGCACGCAGCGGATAACCAGCGCTGCTGTTCCGCAATGGACACGCATCCAGTGGAAATCCGGCGTTACAGATGTGATAATAATAATAATACTAATACTAATAATAACAATAATAATAATAATAATAATAATAACAATAGATGTGAGTATGTTTTGCCTTGAACTGAATACAGTCAGGGAACTGTCATTCTCGGAACCCATCGGCTGTATTTGGCGTCTGACTTCCGGCAGACGGTGATACAGCCTCTGGGGGCAGACCCCCTATTTTTTGGCATTCCAATTTGATTTGGGCGGAGGAGACGAATTTCTGTTTCTGACTTCCGTTTATATATAAGTAAATATGCTGAACCATTGTGATGGATTCAGAGTTTGCAGTGACAACAATTATGTTCCGCCTCGTTAGTTCACCGCATGGAGTGTTTAACCTGGCAACAACTGCAGCCGGCTCAAACGTGATTGGTCAGCCGAAAACCAGGGCTCTTCCGCTCTTCTTCCGGAGGCAAGATCTCCGGGGTTTGCCTACAGACTCTACATTCACTGAATGTAGAGTCTGTATATAGAGACTAGGGAACTGTAAATAAACCTGTTTTTCTCACAGCAAAATGGTGTGTTTTATTGGCCCTACAACTGTCGATTTGTTATGTGAAGGCTACAAAAGAGGGCCATTAACTCATTGTCGCATCTTTTAATCATAGTTTAGTTTGTGAGGGTTTTCTTTTTTTGCGAATTGATGACCTTTCCGTAGCTGGGACATGTCCACTGTTTAGGAATTCTTTTCACGTGAAGGCAACTTTGGTGAAACCTTTTAACTGAACAAAAACTTCATGCACAGACCAGCATGTTGCCTACTTCTGGCTCATGACAATAGCACCGCTGTTTACCATGATTAGCAAATACTGCTGCTGGTTTTGGAGCAGACAAAATACTTGGCAAACAGCTCTGGAATGATACATCTCTTTAAAAAGTCTTTTGCATGTTCCAATTTTTTCTCAAAAAATGCCACATTTGGTGTCACACGTCACGTGAAGTACCTTCCCTTTCAGTCCAAAGGATGAAATCACAATATGGTTTGTCTTTATAATTTGTCTTTATATAATAAACATTGCAATAGTAGAGAGTGGAGTTTGAGTGGAATTTGTTGTTTGAGTTTTAAATTAGTACACAAGCCCAACGTCCTAAACAATTATGCGTAAATATATATATATGCATAAATACCTGGTAGCCTTGGTGATGAAGTTATGAGACTTTGGGTAGCATATTTTTCTTATCAGGGACACTGAGGGGTTTCTGATGTCTGTCTTTGTGACTGCTCTGAAGGTGGATGCTGTTATCCTACCGCTTCTTTGATTACAACCAGATTTTGGACTTCCAACAGTGCTTGAGTCTCTCCTTCTACAATATCACTCTGAAAATATGATGATTCAGACTGTCACACAATTACCTTTTTGCATACAGAGGGCTTACACATACAGTACATGATTCATTTTAGATTTGACTATCAGCTCTTAGCTTTATTTTAAACATCATTAATCCTATAATTATTTACCTGTTCTTTGGTCACAATTATGTGCTCAAAATGCTTCTGCTTGGTTTTGTAACTCTTCTAGGCTTACATCTCTTGCCTGCTTGTCATACAGATTTGTTAGGGGTTTTGGAATATCTAGTATGATTGGAATATCTAGTATGACAGCTTTTGGGACATATTGTGCTGCATACTTTCTGACAACAGAGAGGACTGCTAGCTTTATTGTCTGTCCCTCTTGTGTGCAGTTTTTGGAGAGGCTGCTGTAGAGCTGGGCTTGCGCAGTAGGGGTCAGAGGTGGGAAAGCTGGTGAAATGGCAGAGGGGCCTTTGAAAGATCTTTCTTTTTTGCATTGTTGTGTGTTGTTAAAAGTGATGTCGTTGTCTTGCTGATACTCCACTCTTTTCAAAGACTCCTCACTTGGTCTGGCCCACTTGTACTTTTTTGATGTTACAGCTATCTGTCCTCTCTTCCATGGCTATGCTGCCATACCCTGAACAACACAGCTGACACATGGGAGCAACATTCACCAAGTCCAGCTGTGCAGTTGCAGTGGGCTCCTAACACAGCTCCATCATTCTTGTCCACCACCCATGGCTTCAACTGA